GAGTGGTTCGATAAATGCAACAACACTGCTGCACTGAAATATGTTTAGCTAATTTTAAACCTTCGCAGCTTTTATGAGTGGCCGTGCAAAATTAATAATGCTTTCTGTGCAGGATTCGGCCTGACATGGTCAATGAACACCTTATGAACAAATCTTTGGCATGTATCCTGATTCATTATGCAATTTTAATATTTTTACAGGTGCGTCGTTATGTAACAGGGAATTAAATCTTTTTCTGGGAAAAATTATTGATAATGGTGCGTAAGTTTCTACATCACATGCACACTACAACTGTTGAGTGTACCCCCTCTCTGCGGTCGTAATAGAGTCCACTTGTTTTTTTTTCCTTTCTGAGCAAAAACTTTTGGCAGAACTTGGATGGTGGTCAGGTTTGATGGACCAATTTAAATATGGTATTCTTAATTTTGTATTCTTCAATAACTTCTAATTTATCAAATAAGGTCTATTGAATCCCTCAGCCTGTGCAAGAGCTCTTGCCTCTAGAAGACATAATGCTTATTGCGGATTTCGTTAGTGAAAACCATGCAACCATCCTTTGGCATCCATATTGGTAAATTTATTGAACGGATGATTAATCTTCATCATCTCTGTAATGCTATAGGCTAGCTTGCATACGTCTGCTCTAGTCACGCCAAAAACGGGATTCAAGATCCAGAATGTGAGCAACTACAACATTGAGAGCCCAAATGTTTTTTTGCTTCAATAGCAATTTTATTTTTAATACCTGTCCGACATCATAGTGTTGAGATCGGTACTTGAAATGTATTGCTTGCTTTAAGCCAACCTATTTTTTTTTTTGATAATTTGAACTGTCTCCAAAGCTCTTCGTATTTCTTTACTGAATCTAAACCATCTAGAGTTTTTTTCTACCCGTCGTGTCTTCAGTCTTTGTTTACATTTTCCTGTATTTATTTATTTATTTCTGTTATATTTTGATTAAAAATTATATTTCTGTTATATTTTGATTGATTAAAAAATTCAACCATTATGTTCTCGCTAGCTAATTTTTCTGGTTTTTTTAACGCTAAGTTTCTTTAGCGACTTCTTATATTACAATTTTCTTCCATGTTTACCATTCTTTATTTACGTCTTTATAAATTCAGCGATTTTCTAATTTTTTGGTTATCTTGTTCTTTTTCTGTTAATATCTATTGTTTCATCTTTATATATTTTTTATTTATTGTGTTTTCCTTCTTAATTTTTAAATTTCTGGCTCCTACGTAGATTTTGACAAGATAATGGTTCTAGTATGCATTGGCCCCTCTTTTGGTGTACACATTTGATATATTTGATTAATGTCTAACATCAAATATAAGACGGTGGGACAAAATTAAGACACTTGATGTCGCAAACCAGTTAGTGTAGATGTATATATTAATTAGAATAGCCATGTTAATAACCAATATCCGAATGCCAAAATGTGATTAAAAGAATATATTTGATACATATCTTCAAGGTAAAATTGAAAATATATTATATTGGAACATAAGGTTTTCAAAATAAGCCGCCCAAAATTACTCTTAATATTGTTCTGAAGCTATTTTCTTGTGGCATTGTAAATTAATTACTGTTAAACTGGAATAAGCCACAATTAAAGATAAAAATACGTTTATTGACGTTTCAATTTCCACTTCGGAAATCGTTCTCAAATATCTCATCACTCTCTAATTTTGTCTTGACTATACTTAAAGTCTTATTTAATGGCACATTCGTAAATAAACTATTTATGGTATTTTGAGAACGATTTCCGAAGTGGAAATTGAAACGTCAATAAACGTTTTTTTATCTTTAATTGTGGCTTATTCCCAGTTTAACAGTAATCAAAATTACTCTATTACGAATATCTTTCAATATGTAGAGTTAACATTGTTCTACTTTTATTTTCAACTGTAATTATAATTACATTTGAAAATTGAAGTCATCATTACATTTGTCTAATGTTTATAATTATTTTCATGTTTCAATGTTTAAAATTATAGGATGACGGTTGTAGAAATTAAGCAACACGAAGGACATTAATTCGTGAATCATTAAAGTTTAAGGATCTTATCTATGGTTATGACAGATGAGGGTTATACTGTAATAACCGGTTGCAAAAATGTTGCTTTACAAAATGGATAAATAAGTATATTGTGTAGAAATGTTATTTCTATTTATTTTTTGTTAATTTAAGAAATATTTTGACACAGTTTATTACAATGTTTTATAAAATCAACAAAAATAAAATATTCTTTTGCTTTGTATTATGTGGATTTTTGTTATAACTTATAACCCTGTTCGATCTTTCCTTCTTATAATACCAGCAGTTGTTCAAATTATCAAAGGTAATTTGTAACGTGTGATGTTGTTCTAATATTAATGCTGTTCACTATTTAGACGCGTTCTTGTATTTATACTATTCTATTTTCGTTAGTGGTTCTGGTTATCCAACTCATTTGCAACATCCGAATCGAATGCATTTGGTCATGTGAACCATCTTAATCTCAGTGTCCATGTTTTACATTCGTATAGTCCTAGTTACTATATATAGCATTTTGATTTTCTCAATATTATTAGGATGAATAATTGTTATAGATTTTTTAATGTTTCTAAAATAGCCTAATTCTTTACCTCTTCGTTCAGATGTTAATCTCCATATGCCAGCAAAATATTAGACCCATATTAGCCAGCAGTCAATAAGTTTATACTAGAAGATGGTTACAGTTGTTGATTTTGGACAGCTCGAAGCAATACTACTGGGCTCATATTGATCTAATCTCGGAAGTTTTCAGCCGCTTGACAACTTAAACCTCGATTTTCTGTTGTTTGACCTTCTATATTGCCGAATTTTCTCTTCCAATTTTTGCGATAAAGTCGCCTATTACTACTTTTAGATTTTACTTTGGTGAGAAGTTTAAAAAGTCTTCTAATTGTAAGTAAAAATCTATATTTATATCGGTGTTTATATCTTCGCTCGATGCATGTACGTTAACTATAGATGTTTTACGTTACTTTCCTCTCATACGTAAACAGCAGGTTCTCTTCGAGATTGGTTTCAAGTCTACTACACTTCCCTTAAGACTTTTATTAATTAAAAACAACTTGGTACCCAGCAGTCAAAGCAGCCAAAGTTCAGTTGGTATTGATTCATGATTCTGGTTAAGTTTTTCATTCCTCTTTCTTCATAAATATTTGTCTGGTAAAGAAAGAGTTGCCATCTAGAGCATAAGTGACATCGCATCAGGGTCAGCAACCCCCACATTGGGAGTCTTACGTTGCCATGCAGGATATCTCTTTAAAACGTTAACGTCACACCAACTTATTAACAAACATGTAATAAATATCAAATTTTGTACCATTTATAGGTTTTAACCCACATATTTAGTGGCTTGACGTATGTACACCAGGTAAATAAACTGATGATGGACTAGATAGTCTAAAACATTCTCTTGTGATGTAGGCCTAAACGGTCTTTTAATTATATACCTTTTATAAAGAATTTTTAAATAAAATTTAAATTTTCTTATAATGTGGCTTTAACATGGACGTATAAATATACGGCCATGGGCTTTAATGAATACATAAAATCCTTAATTTTCATTCTGTCACATTTTTTAATAGTCCCATAGTGTCACAGAGTGCTGCCTTACTCCTCCGAAAAGGCTTAACCGAGTATATTTTATATGCATATTCAGTAGTTTTGAGAATAAGTCGCAATATATTCTTCATGCCCCTGATAGTGATGGGTGGTCCACCCCAAAATATTTTTTTTAATTTCTTGGATAAAATTTTGTGTTTTTTATTTTTTATGATATGACATTAAATAATATATACAACCCTAAATTTTCATCCTACTATCACCAACCCTTATATTTTAATAGTCATATTAGTGTCACAGATTTAGTTGTCACACTTCTCCCAAACAGTTTGACCAATTTTTATGAAATTTTATATGTATATTCGGCAGATCTGTAATTAGGTCGTAATATATTTTCCATACTCCTAAGTGATAAAGATGATCTATTCCAAACATTTAATTTTTTTTTACAATGTGGCATTAAACAATAGAGCTCTTAATTTTCGTCCTTCTATCACCAACCCCTATGTTTTAATAGCCATATTAGTAATTTAATTATTTTAACCCTGCTTGATAACTGATCAATTATCACTAGATTAGTTATACTCGCCAGGCATCCACCATTGTCACTCAGCACGGAGTAAGGATTAGAACAAAGCTGGTCTCCCTTCTCTCTCATACAATAAGCCTTTTCTCACTCTACACAGTTTTTGACCATTAATATTGTTTAAGCATCGAACGTAATACTGATGTGTACAATTATCATTTTACCCTCTCAGTGTAATTCTCAGGTAAATTTATTTTTAATTTGCTGAGCCGAGCTTATTTAGTGTGTTTTTTCGGACATAACTACTCAGTTCAAAAACCATAATTCGGCGAGCAATAAGTGAAGAACAATCTTTCTTCTTGAACTGATATGAATTCTCTTAACCTTGGAGTCTATTTATCTAAGGCGCAACAGACTTCGATATTTGTTCGCCAATTTTGATTGTTTAATTGAGATAATATTTTAAAATTAATTTAAGAGAAAGAGAGAAACGTGAGCAAATAAAAGAATGGCGATTGTGTTCCTTGGAGGCATCTGGCAGTATTGATAAACATTTAGAATATGCTGATTCTTGTTCTAAAATAAATGAAAATGTAACTTACAATGTGTTAAATAAAGACCTTATGCAATTTTTATGATATATAGAGTAGACAAAAGATGCTTCAATACATAATCTTAATAGTATAAAATATTAACACAAATATAAGATTATGATCATATGACAACTGGAAAAGAACGTTCCGATGCTAGAGTTTCCTCAAGCATCGGTGACATCAAGAAAAAATATAAATATGTCATAGAACAAAAATACATTTTTAGAACTATCTCTGTTATAATTAACAAAACTAACAACTTAAAGGTAATGTTTTATTGCAGAAACGAAGAAAATTCTTCATGGAGTCTCCGGTCAATTCAAATCAGGTGAACTGTCTGTAATAATGGGACCTTCTGGTGCAGGAAAGAGCACTCTTCTTAATGTGTTGGCAGGATATATGTAAGTAACGTAATATGGCTGTTTTATCGGATTTTTTTATTACTTTTCATTATAGTATAGTAGTATACGTAATTTTTACTATATGTAGTAATTATTTTTACTGCCATTAATACATATATAATATAAATAAATAATTATTACACAAACAATGCTTTATTACAGTTTTGTTTCATAAATTATTAAAACTTTAATTTTATTTTGAAATATATGTCTAAATTATTGAACATTATTATAAAACATAAATAATTTAGGATATTACAAAAATTTAAAACAATTCAGTTTCAGAATTTTTTGGAAGAATAGGGGCCTAGGTATATTGGTAGTGGCCGCATTCAATCAATGATTGAATAGTAAAATATTGGGAGGCGAAATTTACAATTATTGAAAACGCGCACAATTAGCCGACCTATTCGGCTAATGGTGCGCATTTGTCGGATTACTGTGCTCAATAATATAACGTAAACGACCTTCGAATATGAAGTAAATCAAACATAAATATTAAAGGTATAAACAAATATACGAAAAAAGATAAGAAACCACAAGTTAAAGATATATTAAAAAACAATCTAAGCATCGCACAAGTCACAAATATGTCCTTCTGGACTATCCTCTCATGTACACACAGCATGAGCTCAGTGACAACATATCGAACCATACCTCGTCTTTTTTGCTACCTTCGCCACATAATACAGAAGACTTTTTCATCTGACACAGTTCACTTTCTGAAACATCGTTGGAGCTGCTCTCTTCAAAAATCTTCCTTTTTGTACCTTTTCTCAATTCCGTCGTTTTCTCTTTGCATCTTTGTCCATTTTGAGATTGTTTAAACAATACAGCTATTAAAAAAAATTAATGGGAAAATCCCAGTAGTTGACTGTATACCATCGTTTAAAAAAACATACAGAAGTTAAAACACTTCATAATTGTATTTTGATATAAAAACATATAGTTAAAACTTTTTAAAAGTGTCGTCAAAATTTATGTAGTAGCATAACGTTTTCGATCTAATCAGATCATCCTCAGTGCCTTATGTAGGTGAAGCTAACAATAAAGTTGTGGCTGTGACATCCATATATGGGTTTACATCATTCCAAATTTAAATTATGTTGTGACTCTAGGTCAATAATATTGGATAAAATTTATTTCTTTTATATATTTATTTCTTTAGGGACTACATGTCTCTCTACTCGATTTTTAACACGTGGTACTTGTCAGTTAAAACGACACAGACCAACTGGCTGAGCCAGAGAGAGATTTTCCAAAATGCTGCTGCTAAATGTACTTGGAACTGCATCCATCATTATTTTTTGTGTTAGATACTTGAGTTTGGTTGTCGCTAGAAGAGGTGGACGGAAGCGGTTTATCATCAACTAGAACAACTAATTAATAAGTTACGGCTAAAAAGTCATCATACGTGAATTTATCTTTTTGGAAAGGCCGACTGCAAAGCCTGATAATACTTTGTGAATTGTAGCAGTATGCACGTATGCTTTATTAAATATCTCTGCTAAATTATATAGAGTTATCCTCTCTGCTATCAATAATGATATGCTGATAATAAATGATAGAAATTACATGGTCTCATCTCTCATACACTAATTAAATAAGGAAGAGAAATGTGACTGGAGTAGTTACCCAAAGTCAAAATGACTGGACCACCTTTTTTACGAAGTCTAGAGGAGGTCTAGAGCCAAACGTTTGGCATCTGGAAAATAATTATTTTTTCTAAATAAAACGTTTAGACTTATTTGTTGCAAAATGTTAATATTGATCGCTTGATTAAAAACTCTGTATTCAAGTTCATTGACGGAATTTATGGCAGTCACATAACGTAACAAAATGCCTTTATATACCTTGTCGGCTAATGGTGCGCATTGAGCACTATTGCGCATAATAAAAACAAAAAATATTCGGGCAGAACTAACTATACCAGTGTTTAAAATGGTAAATAAATAATGTGTATATATACTTTTGAAACTATATCAAGAAAAAACTTACCCCTTATTTTTTTTAGACACACAAACAATAACATGCCATGCGAAAACATGTAAACGATAACTGCCAACCGATAAAGTATCTCCCGTTGTTCGTTTGTATTGGTTAGATCTGGCAGTTGCTAATAAATGGCGTGAGAATAGAGTTTTTATTAAAGAAAAGATAGGAACCATTAACACGCACAATTAGTTGATGCGCACCATTAGCCGACTCTTCCCTAAAGAATAAATTGACGAAAACACATAGAATTCCAAAAAGTTTTCTCTTATCCATACATCATAGTAATTTACCACTCCGTATATTCTTATTATTTTCATCTCAAAATATCCTAATACGGATTTGAAAAGGAGATTGAACGCAAAAGAGCCCTACAAATTCTGTGGTTTATCTGATAAACTATTTCCAATGTTGATGTGTGCTTGAAGATATACACATTCGTTAACTGCTTTGATGGCATCCCTGATTGAATGATTTTTATTTGAAAAGAAAATTTGATCAATGAGGATGTGATTTAGCCAGAACACTAGTAGTTCGATTCCGAGGTCATTAAAACAAGTCATTTATTTTGCTATAAGTCTAAATGAAATACATTTCAATAAATCACATCTACTTATTTTAATTTGCCTTTAGTGCGCTATTTTGTGATCAACAAATTTTTGACGCTCTTGAAATACTTTTCGCTACACTTTTTTTGGTTTCATAGAACTTCGTATTTTTATATAAATGTCAATTTCAATGTCTTTTAAAACTTCTAAAAATTGAAATATATTAATGCCTATATGCATATATAGGCATTGGTATTACGCATAAGCGATGATATGTTTTCCGCCCACATCTCAGGAGGGAAGTATGCCTCTGCAGTAATATAGTTGTCCACCAAGTAGTCAGAAAACTCTTGTACGTCTTGGTGTTGTGCTGGTAATATCTCACTAGTCTAATGAAAAACACTCCCTACATCTAATGGATCTAAGAACGGTAGACCAAACAGATATCTAAGGTATTACCCGACGTCATTGTCCTTTGAATACTCAGTAGTGAGTGCAATTTTTTGAATTTTTCTTCACCATGACTGTCCAAGATGAAGATCCACACCTTTTATTTTTGCCGATAGAAACAGTTCACTTACAGATGCATGGATCGCTTTTTTCGAAATCGGCATACACAATCTTGGGACTAAAATTTAGGTTTAATTTTTGACACTCCTCTTTAACCAATTTAAGGCAGTCAAATATAATTTTGCCAACGTATTTGAAAGCAAAAAAAATGTCAATGCATAATGTACATTTTCGAGTCCGTAAACGGTAAATAGTTAAGTAAAAAAAATTGTGCAGTATTTAAAAGTTTCATCAACATAAATTGCTTCTAATGTACTTAAAAATGTTAAGATGGATACACAAGAAAAAGCAACAAATTTTTGTACCGGATCATTTTTTAATAAAAATTGTCTTTTTTGATTGGTTGTCACTTCTACGGTGTTCAATGAGTCATGTACTTCCTGCACACGCTACGAAATGTTAAGAATAACGTGTTTTCTGCTATTTAAAATATTTTTTTCAAATGAAATGTATATCGTCTACAGTAAGAGTTTCACAGTCAGTTCGTTTAATTTTGCTGTGTATCAACTTCAATGGTTTTTCACACAAATCGTCCATTGTCTTCTGCTTAACACGATTACCTAATTTTTACCGATTTAGCAATAGTTTTGATAAACTTTCATGTTGTGGTCATCACTACATTCAACTACACTGTTACAAATATTTAGAGATTTAACAAATGCTTTGCGACTCTTTTCTACACACTGCCAACATTGGATATTATTAGTAAGCATTTTATAGAAGTTATACTTGTAATTGTCAATAACTAGCATAGACTTGTCCTTTTTTGCTTAACATTTCAGATGACTATCAGTGAAATTTTCCATGTTCCATCAGAACATGATGGACTAAAGGCATTCACACCGTAACTCATCATCATCATCTTTGGCTCGATAATTCTATGTAGAATCTGGCCTGCTCTAGGATTAGTCGCCATTCTGTTTGATTTCTGTCAACGTGTTGTAATTTTCTGATCTCTAGTATCCCTACGTCGGTCTCAACTCTATCTAACCACTAATTCGCTCTCGGTCTCTGCTTTTTCTTCCTATAGGTGTTCCTGTCGTTAGTTTTTTAGCAATCATGTTGTCAGGCATTCGTATTATGTACCCGGCCCATCTAAGTCGCTGTGTTTTAATGAACGTTACGACATCTGGTTCATTAAAGAGTTGGTATAATTCGAAATTAAATCTTTTGCGCCACTGCCCCTGATCGTTTATAGCTCCAAATATTTTGCGGAGTATCTTACGCTCGAATATTCCCAGAAGTCTTTCATCCTTCTGTGTTAGAGTCCATATTTCTGCTCCGTATGTGAAGACCGAAATTGTTTTTGAAGTCCATAGCATGCCCTATTTGTAAGGTTTATTCGTCTTTTAATTTCTTCGCTTGTTTTATTGGTAGTAGTCACTAGAGGACCAAGGTATGTGAAGCTGTCAACACGTTCATAGAAATGATTTCCAAATGCTGTTTCCCGTTACTCATTTGCTACAGGATCCTTAGTAACCAACATGTTCTTGGTTTTGTCTTCATTAATTCTTGGGCAAGATTAAATTAATTAAACTGTGCTCGATATTTGCCTTTTATTTGATCAAAGTTCATAAATTTTGAAAATTAGAAGTCCTACGCCATCTAGATTTTGTTCTTCTCGCCCTTTGTAATATAAAACGTTATCGGACTCTAGTGTTATGCACTCTTCCCCTTTTCTTTTTACCTATGTTAGACTAATTATGTCCCATTTTAAGTCCTTGATGTCTTCTTCAAGTTCTAGACTTTTTCATCTTTACTTAAGGACCTTATATTTAGAGTGGCGATGTTCAATCGCGTGGATTTTAGCGATTTCTTGCTTCCCCCAGATTCCATGAAGCTGTCCTTTTTTCCAAAGGAGTGGGATTTGCCATTACTGTATGGTCTACC